AGAGTCTGACTGAATGAATCTTATGACTCTGTTGATGCAGTGCTTCAAGATTATGATGATGTCTTTAAAGGATTAGGTGCTTTACCCTGCACGTACAAGATTCAGCTGAGTGAGGGAGCTCAGCCTGTTGTGCACGCTGCACGTCGCATTCCAGCACCACTGCGAGAGGGGTTGAAAAAAGAGTTGGACAGAATGACCATGTTGGGAGTCATTCGAAAGGTGGAAGAGCCCACAAATTGGGTTAATTCCATAGTGGTCACAAAGAAAAAGAATGGAGAGTTAAGGATATGTATGGATCCAAAAGACCTAAATGAGAACATCATGAGAGAACATTATCAGATTCCCCACTCGTGAAGAAATAATAAGTGAAATGGCTGGAGCAAGTTATTTCACCAAGTTGGATGCATCACAAGGGTTTTGGCAAGTAAAGCTGGATGAAAACAGCACTAAGTATTGTACTTTCAATACACCTTTTGGAAGATATTGTTTTCTAAGACTTCCTTTTGGAATAAAATCAGCACCTGAAATATTTCATAGAGCGATGGAACGAACCATCGAAGGCTTGGAAGGAGCAAGAGTCTACATCGATGACATCATCATCTGGGGATCAACAGCTCAAGAACACAATAACAGACTGAGGAGTGTCATGGAGCGCATACAGAAGAATGGACTGAAACTCAACAGGAGCAAATGTGAGTTTGGAGTTAAAGAAATCATGTTTTTTGGAGATAAATTGTCGGCACAATGTGTTCAACCAGACGGGGATAAAATAAATGCAATATTGAAGATGCCACAGCCCACGGACAAAACAGGTGTCCTACGTATTATGGGTGTGATCAATTTTATAGGCAAATTTATTCCCAATCTGAGTGCAAAGATGACTAACATCTGCAAACTCTTATACAACGACAGCCAGTTCAAGTGGACAGAAGTTCATGAACAAGAGTGGAAGGAGCTAAAAAAACATTTGACCACTGAGCCAGTGCTAACCTTCTATGACCCTAAGAAAAAAATGAAACTGTCCACTGATGCTTCAAAAGATGGACTAGGAGCAGTTCTTCTTCAAGCTGAGGATGAACAATGGAAACCAGGGGCTTATGCATCCAGAGCCATGACAAAAGCTGAATGCAGATACGCCCAGATAGAAAAAGAATGCTTGGGGCTAGCTTATGGACTAGAACGTTTTCATAGCTATGTGTATGGACTTTCATCTTTTATTGTAGAAACAGATCACCGACCTTTAGTTGCCATCATCAAAAAGAATCTGAATGAAATGTCACCGAGGATTCAGAGACTGATGATGAAGATGCAGAGGTATGACTTCACACTGATCTACACTCCAGGAAAACACCTGATTCTTGCTGATGCTCTTTCCAGAGCACCCACAGACAATGGTGTGAGTTCAACTGAGAAGGATGTTCAGTGTCATGTGAACATGGTGTCTACTGTGTTGCCTGTGTCAGATGAAAAGCTGAGACAGATAGTAGAGGCAACAGCTAAGGATACAGAGTTACAGCTGGTCATACAAAACTTGGATGAAGGATGGCCAGTAGGTTTGTGTTCACAGTTTTTCAATGTTAGAGCTGACCTAAGTGTTGTGGATGGACTGCTACTGAAAAACAACAGAATTGTGATTCCACAAGTGTTAAGACAGGACATTCTGCAACGGATTCATGAGGGTCATCTAGGCATTGAAAAATGTAAAAGGAGAGCTAGAGAATCAGTATTCTGGCCAGGACTTAACAAGGATATTGAGATGCTAATAAGCAAATGTGAAACATGTCAGAAATTTAGAAACAAACAAAGCAAAGAACCTATGATGATTGCTGACATTCCAACATCACCATGGCTGAAAGTGGGAATGGATTTGTTTAATCTCAAAGGCAAAGACTATCTAGTGATCATTGATTACTATTCAAACTATCCAGGGATGGCTCTGTTAGCAAATATGTCATCAAATTGTGTGATAACACATACTAAATCAATCTTTGCTAGACATGGTATTCCACATAGTGTTGTGAGTGACAATGGACCATGCTTTAACAGCAGAGAATGGCGAAAGTTTTCAGAACAATATAATTTTCAGCATGTAACATCAAGTCCAAATTATGCACAATCAAATGGTCAAGTGGAGAAAGGAATTCATATTCTCAAACAACTTTTGAAGAAAGCTGCAGATAGTAACTCTGACCCATATTTGGCTTTATTAAGCTACAGATCATCACCACTGCAATGTGGATTCTCACCTGCTGAACTCTTGATGAACAGAAAGATTCGCACAACTCTGCCAAGTTATTGGAGTAATGTACAAGGTGAAAAGAAACCATCAAAGTTGGAGTACAAGTTCCAACAGCTGAAAGTGAAGCAAAAGTCATATTATGACAGATCAGCTAAGATTCTATCCCCACTGTCATACAAGGACCCAGTCAGGATTCAGGATGCGGAGGGATGGAATACTAAAGCAACTGTTTTGCAGGAAGTAGCTCCACGTTCATTTGAGGTAAAAACTGAAGATAGACAAGTTCTGAGACGTAATCGACGCAGTTAGTTGAAAACTCCATCAGAGACTGTTAGTGAGTCGAAGGAAGGTTGTAAGGACTCTCAAAGTATTCCTGCAACTGAAACAGACACCACCAGAGACAATCCACAGGTGCTAAGAAGATCTACCAGATTTGAGAAAAAACCTGACAGACTGACTTATGAGTGTTAGGAAAGAAAGAGACAAGATGGAAGAAAAAAAAAAAGAGAAAAATGTATTAAATGTATGTCAACTATTTTGTAAAAGTTAAGGTAGCTTTATTGTAGCTATATTGTATTATGCTCTATTTGCTGCAGGTGATGTAAGTAATTTTGACAGGCTTATTTTTGTAACATTCTTACTTTAAAGAAAGGGGGATGTGATGATTGGATGTATTATGCTTGTCCAGTAGGTGTCAGTCACGAGTATACATGAATGTATAAATGTGAAAACAATAGAGTAAGAGTTTGATGAGATACTTAATACACCTGTGACCTGTGTGAGCAGACCTGTGAGCAGAGATTTAATAAAAGTACCTGAGCAGTAATAGGGGACTGGTTCTTATCAAACACAAATATAACACCATCTAGACGTCATCTCTTTCAGGGAAGACCCTGCATTTTTCAACACGATAATGCCAGACCACATTCTGCAGCAATCACAACATCATGGCTACGTAGGAGAAGGATCCGGGTACTGAAATGGCCAGCCTGCAGTCCAGATCTTCCACCTATAGAGAACAATTGGCGCATCATAAAGAAGAAGGTGCGACAAAGAAGGCCCAAGACGATTGAACAGTTAGAGGCCTGTATTAGACATGAATGGGAGAGCATTCCTATTTCTAAACTTGAGAAACTGGTCTCCTCTGTCTCCATACGTCTGTTGAGTGTTGTAAGAAGAAGAGGGGATGCCACACAGTGGTAAAAATGGACTTGTCCCAACTTTTTTGGGATTTGTTGACGCCATGAAATTTGGAAACAACAGATTTTTCCCTTAAAATGAAACATTCTCTCAGTTTAAACTTTTGATCTGTGATTTGTGTTCTATTCTGAATAAAATATTAGATGTTGGCACCTCCACATCATTGCATTCAGGTTTTATTCACAATTTGTTTAGTGTCCCAACTTTTTTGGAATCCGGTTTGTAGATAAAAACGACTGGCTCGGCTCCGGGAAGTGTGCAAGTACTTTTACTGGCATTCGCAGTTACTATGGTGACGTATTTTGCAAACAAAGATACCAGACTTCCCATAGGAAATGAATAGGAGAAAACTCTTCACAGAAACTGAGTAACTTATGGAGCCATTTTGGTTCAACATGCAAGGAAAGCAGTGCATTGCCTTGCGAAGCATGCATGCTCAAAATGGCTACATTACACTGCCTTGCGAATGCCAATAAAAGTAATTGCACACTTCCCGGAGCCGAGCCGGTCGTTTTGATATAACTTTTGTGGGGGTCCACGTTGCGGTTCGGGCCGCATTAAAGTTGAAAAAGATACGCTTTTCAGGTGTAGAATAATAAGTGGGCAGTCACCAACTAGTTCCTGGAGTTGGTGAAATGTTGCGTCTTTGTTCGCAAATTATGTCGCCATGGAAACTGGAAATGCCAATAAAAGTAATAGCACACATCACGGAGCTGAGACAGTCGTTTTGATATAACTTTTTTAGGGGTAAACATTGTGGTTTGGGCCGCATTAACGGACAGAGAAATGAAGACACACTTCCGGGGTGTAGAATAATAGGTGCCTTCCAGTCACCAATGATCAAACCAGTCACAGGAGCAAGAAGTGGTACGCCGATGTGCCTCATCGCTGAAGGATTGAAGCGAATGCTTGTAGTTGAGTATTTCATTGGACTGGAAATGAAAGGGGAAGTCAAGTAAATTTTAAAGTTTAACAAGGTTGAGTCAGGTCCTCTGGACAGATTCTTCTATTTGAAGCATTTCGTCTTTTATCCAGAATACTTCTTCAATCTGAGGCAAACTCGTTTGTTGCAGTGTATTATTGAGCATGCATCTGGACATAAACCTGAATGGTTTTGGTGCAAAATATTTAAATTAATAGGAGTTACATTGTGCGTACGACTGGAAGTAGGTTTTTGTTTTGCTTGTCTGGGGCAGAGCAGAGTGACGGATCCTAATGAGTAGAGGGAGCAATTTTATCCACCACCAGGTGTAATGGCAGAGCCAGGGGGTGGCCAATGTTAGTCCTGGCCACCATAAAAAAAATCTTCTGCCACCCATAGGGTTACCCAGATCATTTGAAGAAACTACTTTTAAGCACTGTAAAAACTAGAAAGCAGTTTCTTCAAATGGAAGGGGTGGTTGGTTTGCAATTTTGGATTTTGATGTGGCAACCCACTTTTCAATAGTGACCATTCTTACACCTAGATGCAGTCTCTCCCTAAATTCCCCTCTTTGCTCTGCGACGGGGGACAAAGAACAAGGACAGTGCTGGAGCATGTGCATCCATGATGCAGTCGTACCTTTCTGAGCTCTTTGCGTCTGCTCTTCGATCTGCCTCAGCCTCTCAATCAGCTCTTCTTTCTCTCGTTCTATCCGCTCCTTCTCTTTCTCTGCAAGCTCACGCTTTTTCTTCTCATTCTCCAGCTGTGCTCTGTGGAAACAGCAGAAAATAAACCATGTTAGTTAGAAATATGGTCCTGACTAGAAGTTACAGATGTAAACAGCAGGTGTTGGTTTTCGCTAAAGTGAAGCTTGTTGTTACCAAACAGCCTGTACCTCTGTTAACAGATGTCCTATTTATTTATACAGGGACTAACCTGTATAAAGGTTGAAGGAATGTTACCAGATGTCCTACAGTGGTTTTCTGTACACGTATGCCTGCAAATATGCAAATAAACTGTTGGTTTTTCTAAAATAAGTTTAGATACTTCACCAGTTTGTGAAATCAACTGGCTTGTATCAAGTTTACTTTAATTCTCTCCAATTATCTTGACATGAGCTGGGCTGACTGACACCTAACACTTGTATAATATATTAGATATACTTAATACATATTATGTAATATTATATATTAAATATGTTTAATATTATATATTAAATATACTTAATATATAATATTATATATTAAATATGGTTATAGGTAAATTCATAAGGAACTGAGCTGGATTTAAGAGATTTCAAAGTTAGACTCAATACAAACAGTATTACCAATATTACAGAGTACAAGGATGTATTTTTGATTGTGATTCAAAAATAAATAAATCTACAACACAAGTTTAGGAGATGTTTTCAAATTTTTTTAGCCTGTTTCCAAGCAATGCATTCCAGTAATGTCATGGTATTAGGGATGCACAATATTATCTGCATGGTATCGGCCGATATTAGCGTTAAAGTTCAATATCGGACATCGGCCATTCCATCAAAATACAGTGAAAGTCTTCAGCCCTTTGAACTTTTCAACCTTTTGCCACATTTCAGGCTTCAAACATAAAGATATAAATTTTAATTTTTTGTGAAGAATCAACAAGTGGGACACAATCGTGAAGTGGAATGAAATTAATTGGATATGTCAAACTTATTTAACAAATAAAAAATTGAAAAGGGGGGCGTGCAATATTATTGGGCCCCTTTACTTTCAGAGCAGCAAACTCACTCCAGAAGTTCAGTGAGGATCTATGAATGATCCAATGTTGTCCCAAATGACTGATGATGATAAATAGAAACCACCTGTGTGTAATCAAGTCTCCGTATAAATGCACCTGCTCTGTGATAGTCTCAGGGTTCTGTTCAAAGCGCAGAGAGCATCATGAAGACCAAGGAACACACCAGGCAGGTCCGAGATACTGTTGTGGAGAAGTTAAAAGCTGGATTTGGATACAAAAAGATTTCCCAAGCTTTAAACATCCCAAGGAGCACTGTGCAAGCAATCATATTGAAATGGAAGGAGTATCAGACCACTGCAAATCTACCAAGACCCGGCCGTCCCTCTAAACTTTCATCTGGAACAAGGAGAAGACTGATCAGAGATGCAGCCAAGAGGCCCATGATCACTCTGGATGAACTGCAGAGATCTACAGCTGAGGTGGGAGAGTCTCAACAATCAGTCGGACACTGCACAAATCTGGCCTTTATGGAAGAGTGGCAAGAAGAAAGCCATTTCTCAAAGATATCAATAAAAAGTGTTGTTTAAAGTTTGTCACAAGCACCTGGGAGACACCAAACATGTGGAAGAAGGTGCTCTGGTCACATGAAACCAAAATCGAACTGTTTGGCCACAATGCAAAACGATATGTTTGGAGTAAAAGCAACACAGCTCATCACCCTGAACACACCATTCCCACTGTCAAACATGGTGGTGACAGCATCATGGTTTGGGCCTGCTTTTCACCAGCAGGGACAGGGAAGATGGTCAGAATTAATGGGAAGATGGTGGGGCCAAATACAGGACCATTCTGGAAGAAAACCTGTTTGAGTCTGCAAGAGACCCGAGATGTATCTTCCAACAAGACAATGATCCAAAACATAAAGCCAAATCTACAATGGAATGGTTCACAAATAAATGTATCCAGGTGTTGGAATGGCCAAGTCAAAGTCCAGACCTGAATCCAATCGAGAATCTGTGGAAAGAACTGAAGACTGCTGTTCACAAACGCTCTCCATCCAACCTCACTGAGCTCGAGCTGTTTTGCAAGAAAGAATGGGCAAGAATTTCAGTGTCTCCATGTGCAAAACTGACAGAGACAAACCCCAAGAGACTTGCAGCTGGAACTGCAGCAACAGGCGGCGCTACAAAGTATTAACACAAGGGGGCCCAATAATATTGATCGCCCCACTTTTCAGTTTTTTATTTGTTAAAAAAAAATTGACAGATCCAATAAATTTCATTCCACTTCACGATTGTGTCCCACTTGTTCTTGATTCTTCACAAAAAAATAAAATTTTATATCTTTATGTTTGAAGCCTGAAATGTGGTAAAAGGTTGAAAAGTTCAAGGGGGCTGAATACTTTCGCAAGGCACTGTAACTCACCGATATAAAATATGCTGTTTTTGTATGACAACCCAGTGACAAGGATGCCTGCAGTGCCTGCACAACGTGATGACGTCACGCGCGCCTACCTGATCTGATCATGGCGGAGAGGAAGAAGTCAAAATGTCGGCGGTGTGGAAGTCTTTTTTTTTCGTTGAGAATGTCGGATTCCAATTTTTTGGACTACGTTGGGCCTCTACAAGATCCCCAGTCGAAGATATTTTTCCGACGTAGCCTTACCCGAGTTACAAGCAGTCATTTCCGACGTCATTAAGAAGCTAAACGCCGATAGCACTTGGGTGAGTTTTACCACAGACATATGGACGTTGTGTTAGCCCCGTTAGCATGATTAGTGTTACGGCACAATGGATAGACATAAACTTTGAATTTAAAAAAGGCTGTCCTTCATGCACAAGAGTGCAGAGTTTCCCACACTGCAGCTACAGGAACCTGGAACAAGCCTCCACAAGTGAGACAGCATTGCAGTTGATTAATGCTAATAAATAACATTTAACACTTTTCATTAAATATAAGTTAAAGTGCTATACATATCATATGGCTGTTACTGAATATATGTCACCAACTCTTACAGCTGTTGCACAATTTTTGTAGCAAATAAGCCTAAATAAGAGGGCTATGTTCTGACAAAGGAAAGTACATTAAAAATATTGGTATCGGTTATCGGCCAACTAAGTTTTAACATATCGGCATATCGGCCAAAAATCCAATCTCATGCAACCCTACGTGGTATATTAGTTTATGGTATCTGATCCCTTTAAGTGTGCTAATAACGCAAATAGATTAAACATCCAGCCACACGGACAGAAAATCAAATCACGTTGCTAACAAACAAAACCTAGACTGATCAGTACTGACTGCCAACTGATCCCTATGCAAATGCAATGTTGTGTGATACGAGGTCAGGGCTGTTCAACTGTTGGCCCGGGACACACATAAGGCCCACAGGTGAGCTCAGTTCGGCCCACCAATGGGTTCATTTGAAATAAAACTAGATTTTAAACCATAAAACAAACTTTCTTAATGACAATAACTGCTAGATGTCTGGCCCCTGAGCTCTTGGCTTTCAGTAACTGTGCCCCCCCCCCCCCCCCCCAAGCAATTTAGTTGAATAGCTCTGTACTATGTCCTTACATTTCTTTTATTTGTTGTCAACAGAAAAACAACTAACATTTATGGTATGTACTGAAGCTCCATCATTATTTACAATGCACTGCTGCCCCCTGGTGTGTATGTCACAAAGTGTCTTATCAATTGTTACATTTCCAGTATTGGTTCATTCACACGCCCACCTGGTGGAAAAAGACTATTACTGTGCTAAAACATAAGTTTTATTTATCAATGTACATATGCACTGACTGGTAGACCTCTCATCAGTTCATATGCTTACATATTAGCATATACTTGTTTATTACTTGTAAAGCTTCTAGAGATGAAGGCAGAGCCTTTAGTTATCTTCAGAAAACAAAACATGAAAAAGAAAAATACCACAAACCATAAAAATTAACATTTCCTGTGAGACAAAACGGAGTTTAGGCTCAAAGTCTCACTAGCAGCGACTTCTGTACCTCTCCATCATTTTGTGGTGCTTCTCTTCTCTGGCCTGAGCTTTCATCTGCTGCACCTCGATGGTGTCTGGCTTCCTCCTTCTCATGTACAATTCATGGTTTCCCATGCACAAAGCCAGGACGCGCTTGTTGATTCTCAACCGAGGGGCGTAAAACACAAAGTCCTGAAGGAAACACAAATCACACATTCATTGGCTTCATCTGTAAAACATTAGTCTTTTTTATTCATATTAAATCAACACTTACTGGAGCTTTCTTGTCAATGGGTTTAATGACAAACTTCTTGTCGTTGAAAGAAATGTTTCTGATCTCACTCCACGGGAAGCCGATCTTTGGCGACAACCTGAGGCAACATGAAGCTCAACCATAAGGATGGGAATAAGGGATTAACTTGGTGCAACTTTACAAGCAATTTTTTCCAAGTTCTGGGTGAAAACAGAAAGATCTGAAAAGGATTTGTACTGCTTGGTTTGTGTTTACCGTTTTATTGTTAACTTTTAACTAAAGTGCTTCTAACTTTCCACCAATAGAGGGTGGTGCTGTATGCAAGCAGCAAGATGAAACAGTCATTAAAACACAAGAATCAGTCATTAAAATACATCTTTGACTGGCTGTGTGTACAGCCTCTCAGATGTGAACTGCATAAAGATCTGAAAAGAGGACTCTTCAAAATAAAAGTTAGTGCTGGGTGTCGCTGCTGATCAATGCTTCTCTTGTGATTTAATTTTCTTTCTCCTAAAATCCACTTGCAGCCTGATGATATGAGCTTCAATAGCATTTGTCAGAGTCATCCTCCCAGTTCATCATGATTCCATGAATAAAGCAACATCAAGAACAAGTTGAATGACACCAACATCTGATTTCTGATCAGACATTTCCTCTGAGAACTCAGAGCTGAACTAACTCACACACTGTGTGTGTGCGTGTGTGTGTGTAGTGATTACTTGTCTTCATGTTCATAAATGTTGAGTCCCAAGGCATCGACCCCCAGCAACAGCTCTGTGCCCTTCTTGTTTTTGATTTCAAAGTAGTTGACACCGTACATCTCCAGATCCTGAGCGATCTTCAGGTACTCCATCATTGCATCTTCTCTGCAGACACAAAAACATGAGCTTTAAATGCCAACAGATCTGTTTTAAAATACAATAAAACTAATTTAAATATATATTTATGTGGTGAGGCCAGTCCAGATCAAACTTAGCATAAACACCTGTTAAAGAGTGCCCAGACAGAAGCCCTTACCTCCTACATGGTGGAACAAAATTGTGTACACAGGGTCCCAGTTACATTCAACAAAAGTATTAAAATGTAAAAGAAAAACGGTAATAAGATCTAAGATATGAACTAAGAAAAACATTAACTAAAAATACTCTAAGCACTAGTAGTACAAAAACAATACCCTGAACAGCAGCACGACCATGAGTCTGTGTGAGCAGATGATTATAAATGAACACAGCAGCATGAAACAGCTCTAACATGCTCCTCATATCATGTCCTGTTAAAAGGTAGGTGAGTTTGAGTGCAACAGAGTTGTGGAGGCCACATGGAAATACATTTAAGGTAAGCAACAAAAACATACAGTTTTAAGCAATCAACTAAATACACAATAATAAATCTGTCATTTTGACTGTTTTCAGACTCATCTCCCACTGTACAGAGAAACTTCTTCAAAAACCATGAAGCAAAGCATGTTTTGGAGGAAGTGATGCTTACGTTCATTACTTTCCCTTTTTCCTGTTTCCCATCAACTATTTCAAACTTGCATCAATAAAATTAAAATTTGAGCCAGAATTCATGACTGCGAGTTAAAGCGCATGCACGTGCATGCGCACACACACACACACACTTGTAAAACCACATTAAATGGTAAATGGACTGTACTTATAAAGCACCTTTCTATCTGATCAAGATACTCAATGCACTTTACACTACATTCTGTGTCCTCATTTATCCATTCATACAGCACTCTACTAGATCTCTACAAAGCTACTTGAACAAATCATTCTAATGAGATTAATCAGTGCTTTTTTTAGATCACATTCATACACTGATGGGACACACATCGGAGGCAATGCAGGTTCAGTGTCTTGCACAGGGACATTTCGGCATGTGACTGCTGGTGGATTCGAACCCCCAACTCTTGCATTGGAGGATGACTGTTCGAACCACTCAGCCACAGCCATTAAGTCGTGCACCTACCTGAGCATGCCTCTGTGCTCCTCATGCCAGCTCTGTATTCTGTCTTCCCACTGCTCCTTGGTCAGCTTGTGCTGCTCCAGAACTCTGCAGGACAAGATTAAAAATTTGAAATATTTAGAAGTACCAGCCTCAGTGAGGGACAGAAGCATGCTGAAACACAGTGACAGAAAGATAATAACACTAGTATTAACTCATGATTGTGTCATTTTTCTAATGTTTGTTTTTAATTCATCTATAAATGTTCTAATTCAGACATCATTATCCTGGAGTAAAATAATGTGTGCGAGTGTGTATTGTACCTCTGTGGAAGTAGCCGGTCATTTGCCAGGTAACCAGGCCTGTGAACATCTTTATTGTAATCTCCATACTTGGCTTGGACGGCGTAGGAAGCTAACAACACAGCCGTCTCTGGAGGACAGTAGTTCTCATCATTCAGAATGGCTTCTTTCACCTGCAGGAAACAACACACACATATAAATACACACACAGTCTCCACCAGTTTTCCAGTGAATCTTCCCATTTTTGTCGAAACTCATTAAAACTTGGAGCACAAACTACAGTGACCCCTGCAGAATTAAATCTGAACATGTGAAAAGCCTCAGTGGTTTGTCTTCCAATAGAGGACGCTCTAATACCAGTATGACATAACTTCTTTATTAAAATAAAATTGACCAAAAAAATGGACTAGAAATTAAGATGAACAGATGAGTCTGAGCTCTGAGTGCTTAGAGCAGTTGTCCTCCAATGCAAGAGTTGGGGGTTCGAATCCACCAGCAGTCACATGCCGAAGTGTCCCTGGGCAAGACACTGAACCCCTCATAGCCTCTGATGTGTGTCCCATCAGTGTATGAATGTGATAAAGCTCTGATTAGTCTCTTTAGAATGATTTGTTCAATTAGCTTTGTAGAGATCTAGTAGAGTGCTGTATGAACGGGTAAATGAGGCACAGATTGTAGTGTAAAGTGCTTTGAGTATCTGGATCAGATAGAAAGGTGCTGTATAAGTACAGTCCATTTACCATTTACCAAGGCTTAGCCTTGAGGCAAAATCCTTAATTTAATGTCGGGATTCATGCTCAATAATCCAAGTAGAAATATCCACCAAAGTTAAGTCAGGTCCTCTGGACGGTTTATTAGGCCCGAGCAGCAAAGCGCTGCGAAGGCCTATTGTAATTGTGTCGTTTCTTATTATTAGGCCCGAGCAGCAAAGCGCTGCGAAGGCCTATTGTAATTGTGTCGTTTCTTATTATTAGGCCCGAGCAGCAAAGCGCTGCGAAGGCCTATTGTAATTGTGCTGTTTATTATTATTATATTTCTCTTCCGCTTTGAAACGCTTATTTGGAGGGGTTAACATATTGGAAACCTAGCCAAACTTTACCCAAAATTGTCCCCCGCGAGAAATAGTAGTATTATAATGGAACCAAAAGTGGGCGTGGCCAAACTGCTCTACAGCGCCCCCTAACGTGAGATATGACAACTGGTAAGTCCTAGAGAGCTGAAATTTGGTACATATGTAGAACCCACCGAATCATGAAAAAAAGTCTCTTGGAGGTATGCCTTAAACCCAACAGGAAGTCGGCCATTTTGGGTCAAAGGGTCAATTTTGGCCGTTTTTCACTTTTCGTACACGGCGAATTTGAACGAACTCCTCCTAGGGATTTTGCTCAATCGTTTTCAAACCTTCGCCATTTTGCTCAGTAGGCATGGGGGACCAAAAGTTATCAAAACGGTGCAAACCGACGCATGTTGAGGGGGCGGGGCCGGACCTCAAAATTATGCTTCACGCCAAAAATTTCCAAACGCTACAACTTTCACAATGAAAAACAGATTTGTACCAAATTTGGCACGAGTCATGCCTGTTCCATGCCCGACGATACCCTGAGGTCAAATTTTGACGTCATCAAAGCCCCGCCCCCTCAGAACAGGAAGTGACTTTTTTTGCTTGGAATGCTCCCTCCCTGACACTCTTGACCCAATCAGGATGATCCTGTGTCAGAAGGCAGATAACAAGTTGGACTGACTTGCATTGAAGCGCAAAGCGTTTCCCCTGGAGGATGTGGGCGTGGCGGCGTGGCGAAGTCAGAAGTGACGCCGTTACAATACGTTTGGCTCTAAATTCCACAGATTTGATCCGAGGTTCATGAAATTCACTATGATCGATAATTGCCCGCCCCTTGAACAGGAAACCATGATAATTGCGCAATAGCCTCTCTAGCGCCCCCTAGAATATTTTAAAACCTCAGCCCCAAGCCATTTTTCGACCGATAAATCTGAAACTTGGTGAACATGTGTATCTTCTCAGGACCTATGAAAAAGTCTCTTGGAGCTCTGATCCAAAACCAACAGGAAGTCGGCCATTTTGGGTCAAAGGTTAATTTTTGGGCGTTTTTAACGGTGAATTTTAACGAACTCCTCCTAGGGATTTTGAAGGATCGACTTAAAACTTGGTTATTAGGCCTTTAAGACATTGAAGAGTAAAAGTTATCAAAAGCTTTCGGTTTCGTTTTGTTAAAGGGGCGTGGCCAGGCCTCAAAGTTGAGCTTCACGCCATAAATTTCCAAACGCTACAACTTTCAACTTGAAAAACACATTTGCACCAAATTTGGCACGAGTCATCCCTGTCCCTTGCCCGACGATACCCTGAGGTCAAATTTTGACGTCATCAAAGCCCCGCCCCCTCAGAACAGGAAGTGACTTTTTTTGCTTGGAATGCTCCCTCCCTGACACTCTTGACCCAATCAGGATGATTCTGTGTTATAAGGCAGATAACAAGTTGGTCTGACTTGCTTTGAAGCGCAAAGCGTTTCCCCTGGAGGATGTGGGCGTGGCGGCGTGGAGAAGTCAGAAGTGACGCCGTTACAATACGTTTGGCTCTGAATTCCACAGATTTGATCCGAGGTTCATGAAAATCACTATGATCGATCATTGCCCGCCCCTTGAACAGGAAACAATGATGATTGCGCAATAGCCTCTCTAGCGCCCCCTAGAATATTTTAAAACTTCAGCCCCGAGCCGTTTTTCGACCGATAAATCTGAAACTCGGTGAACATGTGTATCTTCTC